AGGGTTTCGTTTGAGATCATTTGGCTTTGTATGATAATTAGGGTTTCATTTGAGTCATTTGGATTTTTATGTTAGATTATATCTCTCTCTTGTATGATCTTGGATGAGTGGTGAGTTGATTCATAAGTTGATTTCTTAATAATTAATTCTGGATTTTTTTTTAGGTAAGCGGTTAATTGTGGTTTTCACGGATACCTTTTTTTTTTTGGTTCTTCTTTTATCAGTGAGATGGACTGGTTTCTTGCCTATGCATCAAATGATTTGGATCACGCATTTGATTTTGAATTTTCTTATTTCGTCAATTTATCTGTTTTTCCTGGCTTTGGGAACTTAGGGTTTTTGTTGGAGTTCATTTGATGATACTGCTTTGTTTTTTGTAATGGTGATCTGGTTCCGATTTTGATCTCGTTCTGGCCTCCTCTTATGTCGACCAGTGAATCAAACTCAGCGAGTCTGACTTGGAGTCGCCAAGGTTACTCAGACTTGGCAGGCTGCCGAGTCCTGAATTAAAATGATGGAATGGCGAGGTCTCGCCAATTCCTAATATTGTATTATTATCTTTCTAGATCTGAGACTCAGTGAATTCCGAATTTCCTGGCTAGGGCTTCGGATGTAAACTAGATAAAACATAAGAGATCGATCGAGACAGAGAATGTGTGTGTTGATGGATTCATCTTGGTGAACAAATTTGCCATTTTTAACTATATATCCACTGTACAGAGTGAGCTCTCTTTATATCTCCTATCAGAAGTGTGTAGTAAATTTACGATTTTCCTTGGTTTTCAGCTTCTTCTTTAATTATAGCTTTCTTCCTTTTACTTAGGGCCATGGATATTTGCAGTTTGCATTTTGCATGTTTATTGATTTATATATGCGTGAAATGCATCTAGGCCACTGTTCAAGTGCCTAGACAGTTTCTTTTGTTCATAGATGGTGTCAGTTTCTTTGGAATCTCATTGAAACTTAAAAGATGAGCTAGGAATACCTTTGCTGAGCCTGTTTGGTTTTGCAATTGCACAGAGGTTGAAATGGGTTTTCTGCTTTGTAGGCTTTAGAGTACCTGTGCTGCATTTCTAATCCACTGGTAGTGAAAAGTGACAGACTTATTGTCATGAGATAAGCAGGATACTGGATGTATTAGTTGTGGACATTATGGACGAGATCAGCGGCGAGGCAATGATATCATTTGGCTATGTTCTTGGAGCTGGCAGTAAGGAACGAGGCTTAAGCACAGTTTGGATTCTCCCACATTTCTTGTAAGAAATGAGGCTTAGGCCCAGTCTGGATGCTTCCATATTTCTAGTAAGAAAGGAGGCTTAGGTCCTGTTTGGAGCCCAGGTCTGTGTGATCGCTGGGTTGTAGAAGCCACAACTAGATTCTGTGAGCACGTTCCCTCCTTAGCCAAATCGTTTACCTCCACATTGGCATCTCTCCAAACATATTTTTGAAGGCCACTTGTAGAGGTCAGAAGATGTCGATTACCTGATGAAAGATAGGGTTGAAACTACAAACTTTACAGGCATGAAGCGGTTTTGAGGTCCACATATGAAATTTTGTGCGTCATCCTCAACAATCAGGTTAGGACCACATAAGACAGAAAAAACTTTGAGGTCCCTCAGCAAAGAAGGGCTTCAGCTTTCTAGAGTTGGTCATACCTATTAGTCCTCAATATGTCAGAAGAGGGTTGTCCGAGCAGTCCTAAATATTCCACCGACAGACTGGTTCTAGGTTACCCAGTGAAACAGCCATCAAAGTTCAACTTGGTGGTACCACGCAGGGGTAGGTCACACAAGCTTATCTTATCGGTGTCATGGGTGTGGTCTGAAGGATGTTTTTCCAAAACTCTTTGAGGTTTCATACCCAGGAAATAGTAAGAGCTATGCAGTTGTCAATGCTTTCTGTGGATGTGAGAAGTGGGCTGTGAATAGGAAGTGCATCAACTGGGGCCATATCCAGGTCCATCCAAAGTGCATCAACTGGGGCCATTTCCAGGTCCATCCAAAGTGCATCAACTGGGGCCATTTCCAGGTCCATCCAAGGTGCTTTAGAGTTGTCATCCAGAACTTAGAGGCAACAGGGTTTGTAACTGATCTGCTGTTAGAATATTCTTGGAGAGCACCAACCAGGTAAATAGCCTAGATTTTTGTTGTTGTTGGTGTGTGTGTGTGTGTGTGGTGGGGGGTGGGGGGGGGGGGGGGGGGGGCACTCACGAC